TTTTTTTAGCGATTCGACGTGTTTTGTGAACAATTTAATTTTAATTTGATACAAATTTATGAAATAAAATGAAGTGCTTTGTGATTGGGTGCAACAACTCATACGAAAGGGACAAGTCCGTGCGTTTGTTTAGTCTCCCAAGAGACGTAAGTCTGCGTGAAAAGTGGGTAAACTTTTGTGGTCAGAACGTTGGCCAACATGCAAAAATTTGCAGCGACCACTTCCTCCCCGAAGATTTTGTCAACCTTTTAAAGGTTCAATGGGTAAGTTACCACTTTGTTTAAAAAGATGTCCGAATAACTGGGCTGAATTCAGGACTAGTGAAACACCTCATACTTAAAAAGGGGGCTGTGCCAAGCCTACGCAAAGGCAGCTTCAACAAATTAAACCTCTTGGTGGAAGCTGCAAAGACAATCGAAGCAACTGAGGAGCAGAGAAATGTTGTGGCGCTGGAAAGAGTGCCGTTGGTTGAAGTTGCTGTCGACAACGGAAACCGCTCCAACAAACTCAACTTGTTGCTGGAAGCTGCCAAAAGAATCGAAGCAACTGAGGACCAGGAAAATGCGTTTGTGTCGGAAAGAGCGCCGTTGGTTGAAGTCGACAACAGAGCAAGTCGCAGCACTAAAACGCTATTGGAACGAAAAATGTAAGTAAATATGTACGTACTTTTAAACCTGGCACATATATAATTACTTAAAACGATTATATATTTTTAGAAGCGCTCTTAAACGTGATGCAGAAGAGGCACAAAGGAAGCTGGAGCAAAAAATGTGAGTATATATAAAGCAGTGATATTGATAACGCAAGTAAAATAATTCTTTTGTCCCCAGTCAGCGATAGACTGTGAAAATGTTCGGCTACAAAACTGCGCTAAAAAGAGGTTGGAGGATAATAGTGCATTGAAGCTGCAACTGTGAGGAGAATGTAGGTAAAATTAGTATACGTTCAATAATTTATTTCCATTTCCGAAGTGAGTCAGTAACACGCGAGAATGTCGTTTTACGGGAGAATGAAAAAAAATTGCAAAAGACCATATCTGCCCTACAAGAGCGCATTCGAGGTGCTGAGTTTGAGCAAAAAAATATGGACGAAAAACTCTCTGCAATATTCACTCCTAGCCAAATAAAAAAAATAAAACGTGGTAGCAAGCGTATCAAGTGGGCCGAAGAAGACATATCACGCTCGATAACCCTCTACTCCACGAGCGCAAAAATGTACAGAGTGTTAAAAAAGAAGGGTTTTCCGTTACCTGCAGTGAGCACGCTGCAATGGTGGGCGAAGAAGCTCGACATAACCACAGGTATCATCGGGCCTGTAATGAAAATTTTATCGGCTGCATCTCAGCTGGATGTCGTGCAAAAAATATGCGTACTCAGCTTCGACGAAATGAAGATTCGGAAAGCATATTGTTATGATAAATGTTCTGACACTACGTATGCTCCAGTAGATTATGTGCAAGTAGCTATGCTGCGAGGTATATTTTTATTTATGCAACATATTAAAATATTCTTCTAAGTGCCATTTTCTTATGTAGGTTTTAAAATTTACCTGCCCTTAAACACATTTTTTCAGAACAAAACGTGTTGAAATGGCAGATAAATTTTAAAACCTACTTAATAAAATGGCACTAAAACTAAAATTTTGTATAGGTTTGGTTTCTAAATGGAAGCAGCCGGTCTTCTACGATTTTGATTGTAGAATGACAGTGGAAATACTGCACGACATCATAAGCTCCGTGAAAGCATGCGGATATCCTATTGCGGCTGTAGTAAGCGACCTAGGCGGATCAAACAGGGCACTATTTAATGAGCTTGGTGTACAAATCGACACTCCGTGGTGAGTAATAATGGAATCCTTCATCTTTATATTAGTAAATAAAAATTCTAAATTTTTAGGTTCATTTATGATGACGTCCGCATATATGTATTTGCAGATGCACCTCATCTAATGAAACTCCTGCGCAACCACTATATTGATAGTGGTTTACTCATAAAAGGTAAAGAAGTTAAAAAAGACACTATCGTTGAGTTGCTCTCGTGCACTGCAGCTGAATTATCTATAACGCATAAAATAAGTATGGCCCACCTCACTGTCGTTGGCTCTCAGAGGCAAAAAGTAAAAATGGCGACGAAACTTTTCTCCCACACCGTTGCGCAAGCCATTACACGAGCTGCTAGCCTTGGCTACCTCGGTGGACATAATTGGGAGGAGTGTCATACCATATTTAAATTGGTAATTAAGTTTTGATAACGACTATCATACATATTTACGGAATAATATTCTAATTTTTCAGCCAAACGATTGGTTCGACGTTATGAACGTTAGAGCTCCGTATGCAGACGCAAGGAAACGTGTCCAAGCCTATGGACTAGCTCTTGAGGTTCAGGACGGAATACTCAACCAAATGACAGCAATGATGAAGGAAATGCGGGTAAAAAACAAAATGAGTATGTTACCTTTTCAAAAAGGTAATTTAAAAATCATACACCAAGCAACTTATATAAGTAGTTTTTTATATAATCGGAATTTACTTAACAGGAATAGTTCAGTCAAATTTAGCGTTAAAGCTGCTGTACGAGGACATTAAGAGTAGGTTCGGCCTGAAATATATTTTAACGTATAGGTTGAACCAGGACGTACTGGAAAACTTTTTCGGTGTTGTTCGTTCCAAGGGAGGCTTGAACGACCATCCTGATCGTCAACAGTTTAAGTATCGCCTGCGGTCTTATATTCTTGGCTTCAACGAGGGCGTGTTATCAGACAGCGCAAACACCTCCGTAGACGATACTCCAGACCTTGAACTGGAAAGCAACTCTCTAACAGGTAATTTGGATTCAATGCAAATAAACTCTGTAATAGATAATTTGGATTCAATGCAAAGAATTGCATAGGAATAAGATGGTCTAGTTTTATAGATGCATTATAACTCCTTATTTAGGCATAATTTTAAATAAAATTGCGCTCAGGCCAGATATGGACAGCAGCCAATTGGACGACGAAGAGCAGCAGGAGTTGGAATGCCTTGAGACAGACGGCCTCGAAAACCTTGCAGGGTATATATGCCATCGCCTGCATAATTCAGTCCCAGGTATTCGAGTAGAGGAAGTGGATTACAGCTACACCTGGGTAAACCACCTTACTGAAGGCGGTCTGTCCAAACCCACGCGTGAAATGATGGCGCATATGCAGCAACTACAGAGAGTATTCGACGAGATCAACGGTGACGGGTTGAATATAATGGCCAATTTCCTTGAAGAGCACATGAAGAGGTCCGAGCATATTGGGTGCGATGCAAAAGTTAAGAAATTATTCTTCCGTGCACGTATGTTCTTCAGGATAAGAACTTTAAACAAAGCTCTTTCTGACAGCGCGAAATCTCGGAAACGAAAATACCGAAAAATAATAACGTAGAG